CCCCCCCCCCCCCCCCCCCCCCCCGGGCATGGGGGCCATGTGCCCAGGATCTGCGCGGGGGAGGAGGGTGGACTGCTACTGTGACCTGGGGCTCGGGGAGCTGTGCCAGGCTCTTCCCAGCACCAGGGGGCTGGACTGCACTGCTCTTAGGGTATGCAATGGCAGTGCTGGGAGCTGGGGTTGGGAGGGCTACAGCGAATTTTCGGGTGACTGCAGCCTCCTCTCCCTGTAGCCTCGGTCCCAGTGCCGCCACCACTGACTGGCCCAAGCACAGCCTGGCCCACCCTGCAGGGAGGTCTGGGAGCACATGCCCCCTATGCCCTCCAAGGCTGCATGCCGCTTTTCCCCATGCCCCCCAGACAAGCCACTCACAGCTCTGTCCCATGCTCCGCCCTGGCTAGTCAGGGCCTGCCCCTGCCCCAGCCCCACTCCCTCACCACTTGGCATGAGGCCCCAGCGATGAGGGAGGGAGTGGGACACAAGCAAGAGCAGGAGCTTGGGGGAGTGTGGCACAAGCAGAGTCCTAGGGTGCACCCCCAAATCACTTTTTCTCCCTCTTCTGTGGGATGGCACACGATAGATCTTGGGTTGCATTTTAATTCAACAAGTGAGCTACTTAAAAAGGTTGGAGACCCCACCTTAGACATTTATGTTCTTACGTTGTCTTTGAATGGAGAGAGGGAGTTAGCCATGTTAGGATGAATTTAGGCTGAAGGCAGGGCAGGCTGGTACCTTTTATAGACTAACTCATTAGAGAGGCATGAGCTTTTTTGGTTACAACCTGTTTTGTCAGAAGCTAAGCAGCGGATTTTAGCCTACAAAAGCTGGCAGTGTAGTGGTTTTCTAAAAACTGATTTAATATGGGTTGTTTTCAGCCCTGTATGCAATACTTTAATAACTTTGAGGGTATGAAATAAGTGTTAGCAAGTTAGGGTCTTATGTCTCGTGTTGTCAGAGTTTTCAGTAGTTTTACAAAGAGTTTAGATTATGGATTGTGTTGGATGATCTGGATAGGAATGATCCTGCCTAAGGCAGGAGAGGTTAGACTAGATCAGAGTTTCTCAAACTGTGGTCTGCAAGCTCCATTCAGGTAGTACGCAGAAAGGTTGTGGAACAATCGAGAATATCTGTACTTAGCCTTGCAGTTAATTTATTTTTTCTGATGACAGAGATTAAGTGGCCTGCCGAGACCCTCAGCAATTTTCAAGTGGTCCGTGGAAAAAAAAGTTTGAGAACCACTGGACTAAATGACCACTGGAGGTCCTTTTCAGCCCTACTTCTAAATTCATAGAAATCATAACAAGAAGATGTATTCTGTGTATCAGTCAGACTTTTTCGTTTCCAACTTTGGAAACTTGCTTTTATCTTAATATAACTTTTAATGCTTATGAACTCAACATTTAATTTTTTCTAGTTCTGTTTATTTTTATAAATGCATTTTATCTCTTGTTTTTAATTTTGGACACAGTCTCCAACTTCTGCACTTGAAGAAAACACTCCTCAAACAGGTAAGAAAACAAATCATTGTTCTATACAAGCAGAAGATAGGGGAAGGGAAGGCAGGAAATTCATAAGGGCTTACACTTCAGAATCTTTGGTGTCCTTCCTAAACTTTGCTTCTGAATTCAAATAATTTCCCCTCCATATAATATAAATAAAAGTACTGGAGAAGACATGGAGTCTACAGTGAAGTGAAAAAGGAGAAAAAACCCAACTTAGTAGAGCAGTACTGGTCTGAATTTTTAGGGAGCAATACATGACAGAACATATGTGACTGTGGAACATGCAAATTATAAGTGATGGAGAGCAAGAGAGAGAGAGAAATTCACAAAAATAGTATACAGTCAAATGAAAATGGCCCTTGGTTTTTAGTGACATCTTCTAGGAAATTTAATAAGATATTAAGTATGAAAACTTTCCCCTAGTTGAATTTTTCATAAAGTTTTTGTTAAATGACTGTGGATTTATAGCTAAAACTCCTTAGCTTCAACTAGTGGTTGTTACTGGAAAGTGCTTATTAATGAATTACCATATTTACCTGAATCTAAGATGATTTCAAAGTTGAAGATGACCCCCACCCAATTATTAGATTATAGACTTGGAAAACTTACATTTGTTTTAAGTTTCTGTGTCTTGATTCTAATTGTTGGAGGGTTGCCTTAAAGACACTCCATGTTGACTAATTTATCCCTTATAAGTACTTAAAAATTGTGATATTAAAAATATTTTAACACTTTTATGCAAAACAGAGCTGTAACAGTGTTATTTAAAAATGTTTTGCTTGAAAAAGTTCATAGAAGGTCTAGAATTCCCTATATTACATTTCTATTAAAGTTTAAGAGGTGATTTTTTTTTTCTTTTTTAATAGATTTCATTTACTCCAAATTCAAGGTTTTATTAAATCTACTGGTTTTTTTAAGTCTGTTGGCATTAAGTTGAAATACTACTTTAGTAATTAGTACTTTAGTAATACTTACTGATTTATCTGTCTTCTCATAAGTTCAGTAATTTGAATTAAGAGTGGTCCTTCTGTACACACGGTGTCATGCGCGAACAGAAACCTTGGCTTTCAGGCAGAAATTCTGAGGCAAAACAAAACAGCACAAAGTTGTTTTTACCAGAAGCCCTTATTCTTTCTATTATGAAAGATTTCAGTCTATGAAAAGCTTTCTTCAATTTATAGAGAAATTTTAAATATATTTCAAACTACTCTGGATATTTTTTTCAAAGAAAACAGTTTAAAACAACCCCCTCTTACCCCATTTGATTGCTAAAGGAATGTAAAGTTTAGGTTTCATTTGTGCAGAGTTCTTACTTTGTTCCTTCTTTTTTTTCAGCCAAGGACTTGTCAATTCAGAAAGAAACTGCAAATGTAAGTGTAAGCATGTTTACTGCAAGCTTGTAAGGAATATATAATGGAAAAAGGCTGCCTTCCATGAAAATGTCATCAGTCTAGTCTCGTTTGCTTTCATTTATTTCTCATAGGAGGAGGAAGCAGGTAAAACAGAGGTGATGGTGCGTCGAAGAGGAAGAAAGCCCAAACGTTCTCCGATTCCGGCAGAGGAAACTGGTAAGACCTGAAATGGTACTTCTCCTAACAGATCGAAAAGATTTCACTGCCTGGGTGTACATTAAATTGTAACAGGATCAACTTTACTGTATTTTTCATTCTTAGAGAAAATCATTGAGTTGCAGCAAATGTAAATGTTATGTAAATATGTGTAAATTGCTGTAATCTCATGTCAGAATTGGTACATCCCAGATGCTTTTATAAACCCACATGATTTCTCTATGAAATCTGGCTGTGAACTGCACAAGTAAACTATTGCGAATATGTTTGAGAGATTAAGTCAAACAAGTGTGAATTAGAAGTGTTGAAGCATGAAGGAAATGGAAAATTACTTATTCTACTCACAACTTCCATTTTTAATTCCTTTTCTAAACTAAGTGTCTATATCCTTTTGGAGGGCCTTTTCGGATATTATAGCACATATGTACAATTTTGCATGGACAGAAACACTGGAGCCAGAAAGAAAACGTCGGAAGTCAGCATCTACTACTGAAGAGGAAACAAAAGATCAGGAGGAAGATGAAGATGAAGATGGTGATGAAGATGATGAAGCACATTCCGGAGCCACAACTAGATCAGCCACAAGACTAGAGGCTCAAAGGTAATATTTGTTAGCCAATATAGTTGCTACCAGCTTTTTTTGAAAAGCACTCAATATTGACTAACCTTGCACTCTTAAGTACTTTAAAAACTCCTATTATTAAAAATATTCTATCAATTATGCAGAACAGTATTACTAAAAACCAGGCTGTTCAGCAGGTTCACCTACTGCTAACAACTCAAGGTAATGGCTTTTGTTTCCTGCAATCAAACTCTTCAGGCCATCTCTCCATTCACCCTAGAAATTGGCATGTTTTCCAATATATAAAAATGAAGCAGGGAAGGAGAATGATGGAATGAGAGCCTGTTTAACAGTGGATGTTAAATAGTGCGCGTCAGAAGCTGACATTTAAATATATTAATGTTTCTTGTAAAACTGCTCAGTCCTGGAAGATGGGGGTGGGTGTGTATGTGTGTTGGTGATTGTATGGGAGCTAAGCTTGTACCCCTCAAACATTGCACTGTGTGTTTGTAGCACAGATCTGGTATCCTGTAAAGTTGTTGCATCTACAAGAAACTTGAAAGCTGGCTTTAATTAGATTTTTAAAATTATTATCATTGTATGAGTGGTTTCTTCTATGAAGCTGGAAACTGAACTGTAGTTCCAGGGTATTTTTTGTTTGTTTTTCTATACTATGCTATACTTTTTGCTCAGTAGTAGATACATATTTCTCAATGTAATAGAATTAGAGTACAGGATGTAAAAAACCACAATGTGTGCTGTATCCTTTCCAATATTGAAGTATTTGTATATATTTATTCCATAAATAGTTTCAAGTCCAACAGAATATTTCCATGAAATACAGATTCAGCCATCATAAATTCAATATTCCATCTTCTTCAGGGCATGTAGGCACTAATCTAGCAATTCATTTGTAATATGACTACATCCTACCTCTCTGGTATGTCTTGGATTCGGATTTTTTTAATTGGGAATTGGCACTACCAGCAAGTTGTTGTGTTTTGGACTAAACACATACTGTACTTGTCCTTGAAACGTTCAGTGGCCATAGAAATACAGCTGCAAGAATGAGAGTTCAAGTTTCTCTCTTGTCCAAATGACTGGTCAATTGAGAGAGTACCACAGGATCTCTTCATTCCAATACTGGGGAGTTGCAGTTAGGGTTCATAGATACAGAATGCTGTCTTATTCTCCTGGGATCATTTGACTGTGATATACAAGGCTTATTTTACCCTTCAAAAGTTCAGGACACCAGAGTTGACAGGAAGGCTGGTTTCAAGATTCTCTAGCTTAATGGCAGTGTAAGGACAAATTTTCATTTGAAAAACCCTTCCAAAGCACTCCAGCTAGTTTTTCAAGCTGTTCCAAATGAAAGTTCCGTGATAACTCAGGGGTTCTTGATTCAACTGTCTGTAAAAATCCTGAAGATAGGAGGTCCTGTCCAGAATTGGAAAAGTCCTAATATTCTTTCTGAAAGAGCTCTGATTCAGACTACTGATATTCTTGAGCAAGCTTGAAGGGCTTCTTCCCCAAATCAGAGAGAGCTGAAACTATATAAACACTCAAACATCTTTTTTCACAATCCTGATTTAGGTGTCAAGTTTTTTGGGTTTTTTTCCAAACTTCAGTGCCTACAAAGTGTGGACAATCTTGTAAGGAAGAAAGGGCTTCTAACTGAGGTCCAGTAGCATGCAGTCCTCTGTAGAAAGGCAGTATATCTCTTTTGTACCAAGAGAAAAAATGAGTCAGAACTACAAGTCTCACCATTTAATTTCTCTCTCCTAAACATTGTTAAAGTGAATCTGTTAGGAACACAGCTGTGATCTGTAGTGCTTAAATAATTGTTTTTTACTGTAGAGAGACGTCATTCCGTAGTGCTAAAGATCACATTTATACACATTCTCCGAGAGTTTAGTTTCCCTTCCTCTCATGGGCCTTACCCATCTTTGAAAAAGTGTGTGATGGTAGATCTGATATGGCAGTGGGAATGAAAAAGCATCCTCTTTGCAGCCAAATACATACCTCATTGGTTACACTTATGGTTTTATTGAAACATAAAATTACCAAAGAATCCAGTTAAGGGAACTTTTGATTTAGCTTTATTGCCTTCAAGGATAGAATTGGAACCTTGGTGGACATTATTTTAAAATTGTAGGAATTGCTATTAACATTCTGACTAGAAGAGGCAGCCTTTTTATCTTTAGTTGTGCTGACGTTCAAATCCTGTGTCTTCAGATTTAAGTCACTTCTTCAGTAAACCATAAAGTTGATTTGTTAGAAACTTTTCTGTTGTACTGGTTATACTGAAGATAACGTAAAGGCAGGATTCTGACATATTTGAAGCAAACTAGACCTAACTGTTCCCACAGTCTTCTCATGCATTTTTTTGTGCACCCAGCTAAATTTGGTAATGTTAGCGTTTGTATACATTATTTTTGTTTTAGGTCCAGACCGTCATACGGGCAGCCTGTGAACCACATGCAACCCAGAGGGGTTAAATTGTAGTCCTCCCTGGGCTCCTACCTAGCTATAGCGCTCTCCCATTGCTCTGGCTACAGCAGCAGCTGGGAGCTTCAGGCTTCCATTCCCTCTGGCTTCCCCTTCCTGCCCCTGTCCCAAGGGGCAGAGCAGGGCTAGGGATGTGGTGCAACACAGCACAGCCTCCAGTGCTGGGAGCACTCACAGCTCGGGGTGTCTGAGTGGCACGGTGCAGCAGGGGAGCTTGCAGTCAGTAAAGAAAGGATGAGTCTGGGTACCTAGGTTTATGTTGCAGCAGAGGAGTGTGGGGAGCAGCAGCAGGAGATGTGCCTAGGAGCAGTGGCACAGGAGAGAGGGGGCAGATAGTGCAAGGTGCACTGTGGGGGCAGGGGTTCATGGTGCTGCAAGTGGGAACCTGTGTGTGCAGCACATTGGGGTAGGGACGGGGGCTGGCATCCCAGGGTCCATGGCCTCTAGCCCCCACTGATGTGGCTTCACATTTGAAATTGGACATCCCTGCGCTAGTTAAAAAAAAATCCAGCTTTTTATTGAATAATGAAATGATCAACAATATTTCTATGGTTATTATCTTTTTCATGTTAAAAGCATGACATTTGCTTTAGAGTTTTAAATACGTTTGTATTACCTCCGACTTTCCCTTATGACTCTACCACGTTTAGTGACACTATTTATTCCATTGTCACACGTACTCTATACTCCTGTCCTCCCATGTTTTGTACGTATGCTGAAGATGACTTGATTAAAAGCACTTCTTATGCTTTCAATTTTATTATAATGTTTCCTAATAACTTTGCAGAAAACAGCCTAGCAAGCCAACTACACGTGCAGCTTTTAAAGGCAACAGCCCAAGTCCAGTTTCTCCCAGCAAACACCAGAAGTTGTCAGCCAAAAAGAGGTCACTTAGTGATATAAAAGTTAGCAAATCTCCTCCATTGACACAGTAAGTATGAAAATTAAGCTATTTTATTATTTCTTTTAGATATCATTAGGTTGAGCTTTCTTCTGTGCATGGAACCCACTATGTGAAAGCTGAAAGGCAATTTAGTTTTGCCCTTCCCTGCTTTTCTGATAGATCAAGAAAGGATGCAAAGGATTTTTTCTCTCTACATTTTTTTTCCTGTTTCTGTTTTCGCATTTGAAATATTCGATCATAACTTGCTCTTGGGTGAATCTGAACAGTGATGTTGCAAAGCTTTAATCTGCATTCAAATTCTTCCTGGGGTGAAAAGATTACATTCTTAGCAGGGGCAAAGAGAGTGGCAACTGACATCACTGCTGAGGTGCTTCAAGATCATCTGATAGAAAGAGGGAAGTAAGACTTGAGAATCCCCACATACTGAATTTTAAGAAAAGAAAGCAGTGGGAGAGGAGAATAGGAAAACATTTTTTCATTTTTAAATGTGAAACCATCTTCAGAAATCATGAGAGTAATAAGTTGGGACATAATTGTTGCGTGGTGGTGGTGTAGTTTAGCCACAGAAATACTCATCTTCCACAGAGGTCCATATTTGGCTAGTAGTCGTAACTGGGCATTGAGCAACATCTGTCACTTAAAAAAAAAACTTAAAGCAGCAATTGACTGCTCGAAATTGTATTTCAGTAGATGTTATTTGCTTACTGTCATGTGAAAGCCCAAGAGTTTGAGTTGTGGCCATGTGTTTAGGGCTGGATCATGGTTAGCTTGTGTGGGCTGGCAAATGGCAATGAGGGTATGAAGTACCTTCCCTTTTTTTCTTTTAGTACAAGAAATTCAAGCCCAGGTTACTTCTTTGCACACTTGAGTGGTTCCTATTTTGTACTCTGTTCTGGGAACAAATTACCCCCAAAAGAATAGAGAGGAGAGACCAACCGTACATTTGCTATACTAACTAACGCAACTGGCTTATTATTTCAGTATGCTAAAGCGTGATCTGTATGGGCAGAATTGTTCCCTCAGTTGCAAAGTGTATAGGACATACTGTATAGTGATGACTTCTGTAACATCATGTTTCCCAGTCTGTCCTTGGATGGGACAGCTGCAGTTTACTCTCAGAACAAAACTAAACACAAAACTGCTTTGAAACTACAAAAATTCTGAGCTTAGCCTAAACATTATTGTATTTTGTTTTGTTATTTAAGGTTAAAGATGCAGCCTACCAAGCGCAAAAGGGAAACCAGTCCAACAGTGGTACGCAGAAAAGGCCAGCAGAAACCTGATGAAACACCACTTAAAAAAGCAAAGCGATAATCATTACCAGCCAATGCCATTCATTGAAAAATTGCAAGAAAAGAAAGAGATCTCTGCTTCTATTTTTATTTAAGCAAAGAGATTTGCATGTGCTTGTTTCAGAGCTCTAAGTTAATAGATGCAGAACTTTTTAAGTTACATTTTAAACAGCTTTATAAACTATTGTTTATACAGAATATTATGTACATTTATTTCAGATATAAAAATAAGTTTACTTTGTATCTGAATGAAAAACAAAGTAGTTATATATTTTAACACTGACTTGGAAAGTTGGGGTTTCCCAATGTGATGTGCTAATACAGATGCTTCCAACCCACCAGGCACCAAGGAGCCTACTAATATTCTTTGTAAATAAACTTGTAAAATAGGTTGTATTTTACTCTGTGTATGAATCTAATCAATGATGAGCATCTTATTTATTGTATGGAGAGGACTGGTCTGTAAACTTTTAGTATATACTGTAGGGGTTTTTTTTAATTATATATTTTAAAGCCTCTGCAGCCATGAGTAGGAAGGAGCTTTTTTCAGGGCTGTCTAAAACCTGAAATTCTCTGAAATATGTTCAGACAGTTGGCAAAGTATTCTCTCGCATGTATTAAAGTAGATTAGTGTAATGAAGGGGACTCCTGTTCCTTTCTGTTCACAGTTGTGACTGCATAAAATTTTAAAAATGTAATCTTTTTAGATTATATTCTCATCTGTGATTTTTTTTTTTACAGCCAACCTCAAAGAAGTAAATAGTTCTAGTTTTAGGTTTACTTGGACTACTTCAGCCAAAACTGCTCTGAAGTAAACTGTTTTATTTACAACTTTAACAACTGTTCTTTCAGTGTTTGTCTTTTTCCATGAAGAGGGACCCATTGAAGTTAATGTCAGTTCTAGCAAGTATAGAGCTTCAGCATTTATGTTACATTTTATACACAGGTATTAAAAATAGAACCTGGTATTATTGCCAGAATCTTTTTTTAACATATTTAATTCCCTTAAGAGCAAATGTTCAAGTTAAGTTGTACATAAAGTTAAACTTTTTCTTATGATCAAATTTGTCTTGTAATGATGTGAGTTGCCAAATAATCTGAGATTATTTTAAGTGTTTTGTTCATATTATGTTTTATAATTAAAATCGGCATTCTGTGCTTTGAGGGTTTTTTCTTTTGTTCTTTTTTTGACTTGTTGTAAGGCAGATACATCTGTCAGATATTATACTTTGTTTCTTACTGAGATTTTATATGAAAAATATAAAATGTTTCCCAAAACCTGAGTGGAGTATTTGTGGTATCTTTTAACTTGAATTATTACCAAAAAAATTGCATTTACACACTTGCTTGCTTGGATTTAGTCACGTGAGTAATCAGTTCCTTTTCATCAATGTCTACCATGTTACCCTGGCACTATATATGGGAACATAAGAGCTTCTCATATAAATGATAGGCTCTTCAGCCCCCTGATGATGCTAATAGCCTTTCTCTGCAGCTGTTCCAATTTCTGTTCATAGGTCATGAACATGAATGACCAGATGAGACCATCTGAAACACTCCACACATCTTTTATCATAGTACAGCTTCTTGTATCATGGCATTAATATTTTTCAATCTATGCTGGAAATACCTTGCTTGATCCATCCTGGAATCTCATTTTTCATAGCTGCATTAAGTTGGTGGCTTGTGGTCGTCCATTAATACATCCAGACCCTTATCTTTCTTGACCATTTCCAGGTGATGAACTTACATCTTTGAGCAAAAACACTTATTAGCTCCTAGAGGGTCCAGTTCCTCAATTGTATTTGGGCACTAACAACAGAGTCCAATACTACTCCAATAACCCTATTTTGCTACCTTTCTTCTGTGTGTTTTTTACTCTAGGTTGTTTTTTCCTGTTAGGTTTACTAAAATTTGTAAAGATAATACTTCTAGAGGGCTTGCTCAAAACTCATGTCCTGAGATTCCAAAAGCAGTCTTCCAATGGGTACTGATTATATTAAAATTAAACCTGTTGAATCTTTTTCATAGCCTTATTTAGGGTCCGGTTCAGCAAAGCATTTAAGCTTGTGCTGAAGTATCACATTTAACTGGAGGCTGACTGCAGGGCCATAATGCCCTAAAGGTTGACATACATGCTGTGGCACAGCAGCAGAGCAAGGGTCCGAAGATCAGAATGCCCCATGGCAATACAGGAAAAAGGACTTCCTAATGGGTCAAATGCACTTGCCCCAAGGGCTGGTTTTTGGGTTTTTTGCATCACCACAGAAATCTACATCTTACTGTAAGTATATTTCTTAATAGTTTACCAATAATTCAAATGACAATAGAATGTGCTTAGCCAGCTGGCTTTATAGAGATTTGGTATACTGAACCATAGGTAGGGTGTTGAACATGTCATACTTTCTGTAGAAAGTCTCTCAGACTACAACTTCACTCTTACCATGCCAAGGGCTCCATGTTCTCCTATTTCCGTCTGCAGAACACAACAATCCTC